GATGTGGAAGAACTGGAACTCTTATGAACTGTGGAACTCACGGTTAATAAGAATGTAAAAAGTGACAGCCCTTCGGAAAACAGTTTGGCAGCGTATTACCGAGTTATGCCTACATCTACCATGTGACCCAGCATTCCCAGTCCCAGGTTCTTACCCAAGATAAATAAAAACATATGTCCACACAAAGACTTGAACTTGAATTATATTCAAAGAACATTATACTTAAAATAGCCAAAAACTGGAAACAAATAAAATATTCATCATCTAGTAAATGGATAAATAATGGAATGGAAAAATGGAATACTACTTAGCAATAAATAAGAATGAAACATTGACACACACAGCAACATGGATAGATCTCAAAAACATGCTAAGTAAAAGAAGTCCAATGCAAAAGACTATATACTGTATGGTTCCATCTTTAACAAATTCTACAAATTCTAAAACAGAATAAACTATTGTAACAGAAAGTGGTACTGGTTACCTAGGGCTGGAAGTCAGGCAAGGAGATGAACTGCAAAGCCACAGGAGGACACTTTTTAAGGTAATGGAAATGTTTTTTGTCTTGATTGAGCTTTTGCACAAGCTCACTGCTTTCCTTGGAATCTCCTCCCTTGGCTCTCTCAATGGCTCATTAAGGTGTCAGCTGAAATGTCATCTTCTACAAGAGGTCTCCCCTAATCACACTAACAACAACCTCCTCTTAGTTTATCACAGCCATCTGCTTTGTTCCATCATGGTTGTTGTCACCATTTGAAATTTACACATTTAGTTGACCTCTTCATTGTCTGTCTCTCTCATTAGACTCTAAGAGGGAGGGTTTCTCTCGGTTTCTCTCTCTCCCTTTCTCTCTCATATATTTAACATATGAGGGTCTCACTCTATTCTCTCAAACATCACTTTATGCCTTGCCTATAGTAAGCAAGTCACAAAATATCATCTGATCTCTTTGCTCATCAACTAGACCAGAGGTTGACAAACTTTCTGTAAAGGGTCAAATAGTAAATATTTTAGGCTTTATAATCCATACACTGCTTCTGTTGCATACTCTTTTGCTTCTTTGTTTTTTTTTCTAACAACCTTTAAAAATATAAAAACAATTCTTAGCTTGAGGGCCATATAAAAATAGGCTGAGGGTGGGATTTGGCCCACAGGCTGTAGTTTTCCAACTTCTGTGCTATACTACTAGAAGTGTCTTAAGGTCAAGTCTGAGTTATTTACTTACATTCGCTAATACCTAGCACCGTACTGAGCATGTAGCAGGTTCTCACTAAACTCAGCTCTCAGTTAAATTGAGTTAAATTAATTAGGGGTGGAGGCGGAAAAGAGAAAAAAATGGTCAGATTCAGTCTAATAGGCATTCTACCAGGGAGATAGTGCTTAGGGTCCAGGCTGGATGACTCAAGGGGTCACTTACCAAGGATTTAATGAGAAGACAGCTTCTCATACAGTCAAAGATTCCCTGATATTGCCTTGGAAATCACAGATCTCAATACTCTCCTCTTCCAAGCAGCAACTCTGCTACCGCAGGCAGCTGCCTCCTCCCACATCTACTTACAGCGCAGCTGACTGGGGCCCAGGAAATAAGAGCATATCTTTCCCCCAGTGGTTGCTTTTGTTCTGTGCTACTGTGCCTTGCTAACCAGTTCTGTTGCCATCCAACATTCCGAAAAGCTGCTGGCTTAAAGTAAAACATCTACCTCCAGAGGAAGAACAATTTGGCAAATATGGAATTACCTACACAACTGCTATGAATAATTCTTAGATGATGGCCAAGAAACATTCCTGAGAACAGTTTCTGGATGGGAGCAAGTTTCTGATCCTACTACGGTTACAAGTCTTGAGACATGTTGATAACGAATGATGGCAGGAAGGAATAAATGGGTGAAAAAGCTCCATGGCCAAAATTATGGCCATAGTCCCCACCCCTGGAATTGTCAGAATGTCAGGATGTCGTAGTATCTCCTGAGAGATCCCAGAATATGTGCAATGCTTCCCCTAAGGCATTCTTGCTTCCGTTCACTTTGGCCTAAGTCTGAGGTCAGAGCTGTCTACCTCAAGAGAGGAGGGCCTCTTTCCTCTAGCGTCCAACATGCTCAGAGTTATTGCCAGCACCTGCCCTATCGATAGCTGTCCTCCTATTCCTGGGCCTGGGAGAATAGAGAGAGGGGAGAACAGAGATGTTATTTCACATTCTGCTAGGTCTTCAACCTCCATGAAGTAGTGGAGCCAGCCACAGGGGACTGGATCTATCTCCAGGCACTTCCTTCCTCCTTTTTCATGACTTGAGATCTCAGAATAATTCACTGCAATGTTCTTCTTTGTTAGGTCTCTGCAACCCCACATTCACCTCCCCACTTCGTGGAAGGAAAAAAAGGAACAAGTGGTCTCTTGGGCGTTGTAACCAAGCAAGCAGATGCTTCCAAAGGAAGGTAAGTGTCAGATGCTTAACTGCATGACTAAGTAAAACACATTATCTAACCAAGCTTCATTCCGATGTAGCAAGTCCTACATTTTAGATAAGAAAGAAGAAAAAGGGTGGAAATTATTTAAAGACAGGCTGTGAGCTAGTGACGGAGCAGGAAACGGCATCAAAGTCGCTTGATTCACAGACAAGGTCTTATCTGCCAGAAGAACAAGAGTGTGGGCAGTGATGCTGAGACAAGGAGCAAACAGCCTGGAGAGGAAAGGAATATGAGCCTGAGGAAATACTTTGGAAAAAGCAAATTAAACAAATCCCAAGGTCCCTTATATCTGTTCTAAGGAGTGCCTGGGGGTTCTGTGTTTCTGAAGAAGGTAATTCAAGATGAAGTGAAAATTTAACTTTGGCACTCAATTTTGCACATCTGATTTGGAAAAGCTAAGACAGTAAGGTGGAGCAGGAGCTGTAAGAAATACTGGACACATGGTACTAAGGAGAAAATATTCTGTGGGGAATAGACTTTCAAAAGCTACAGCAATTGCTGTAACGCTGAATGAACTCACCAAAGAGTCGGCGGGAGGTGAGAGGGGAATGTTTTTTTTATCCCTGAACATCACTGCAAGTAACAATTTCCCCTTACTAGCCACCACCAGAATAGTCCTCTTTAAGTCACATGTGGAAAACATGGTTAAATTGAGCAATGTCATGAATGTGTTCTTTTCCTCACGTCTGATATGATCAGACATCAACTGAAAGTAAACCATGGCTAGGAGAAGAAAGCAAATTTCAGGAAAAAGACTTGGCCTGTCATGCCACTTTGAGATGAAGGAACTGGCTGAAGCATTCGTCTAACATAATATTTGTAATTGTCCCATTGTGATGAGGTTGTCCATGGCCACTCTGGAGGCATCTGACCCTCACCACCATCCTGAGACAGGTTACATACCCCTCTTGTTTGAGCTGAGCTAGGGGAATCCCACCAGGCAACTGTCCTGAGTCAAAAAGATAAATGGAGGATGCAGTCTGGATCAGGGGCTGGGTTACCAGGTTAGAAAAAGAATCACTGGGACCAAGGCAGTGTGCTAATGTGAATAAGGCAAACAGGAAGTGAGGTCTCCCAAAGGAATTAAGACTCAGAATGCAAAACCAAAGCAAGGACACATAAGGTCAGAATCAAAAGTGGTGGCTGGAAGCGCCAGTGTTCAGCACAGATGAGTAGAGCCACAGAAGACAGGAAGCAAAGAGGAGGCTGCCAGGAGGTCTTGACTGCGAGGCTTCCCTCCTCCGCCTGCCCCATACTGCAGGTTATGGTGGTGACATGGTATGTGACACCTCGACAAGCTGGTGATTGTTGGGCAACACCTAAAGAGCAGAGAGGTCCAACTCCTTCCAAGGACAGCCAGCTCTCAATTATCTCTACGTGGATTATACCATGATAGCGTTTTACTTAGAGACTTTCCTCCTTCTGCCACTATGTACATTTTTGGGTTTCCTCCCTTATTAACCATTGGTGTGAGATCAGATGAAAAAAAAAAAGAATTTGAAAACTATTTTAACCTAGGCAAATCACAACCAAGAAGGTAAATCTACTGGGGAAGAAAAATCCCCCGAAGTCAGTATCTTCATGCTGTTGGATGCCTTGGCTAAATACGGCCAAAGTTTTTCTTGCTGAAATATTTTATTAAGGCGTAGGGTAAGTTCTACATACTGAGTGAAGCCAACTCAAACCCACTCTTCTCTCTAATTCAAGCTGGGAAAGCTAGAACTCCTTTGCCATTGGCTTGAAGACTAGGAATTTTGCATACCAAATTACTACAGAACGAAGGTCTCAGTTGACTTGCAACTGAAACCTGACACCATGGGTCACTGGTTCTTATATAACCAGGAAATAAACAAAAGAGACTCTAAATTATCCACCAAGAAAAAGCTGGGCCAATGTTTACTGACTGATTGAATGATACAACACAACCACCATTTAAGTTTGCCTGCTCTGTGCGAGAACCCCGAGAAGCGATGTTGTGGACCCACTGAGATAGATGCTGCCCCACCTTTAAGTTATGCACTGCGTATTATCAAAGCTGGAGACCTTGCACTTAATAAGGATGATAACCAAATGTTTTGAGTAATTCTGAAAGTTTTGAGGCTTGATACTGGAAAGATACTTTGAAACAGAAATCTGTTTAGGGTAGGGTGTCCTCAGCCTGGCAATACTGACATTTTGGACTCAATATTTTTGTGAGGGGCTGTCTTGTGCATTGTAGGATGTTTAGCTGCATCATTGACCTCTACCCACCAGAGGCAAGTAGCCAAGTAGCCATCCCCCACCCCCGCTGCCAATCGTGACAACCAAAAATGTCTCCGGACATTGCCAAACCTCACCTAAGGGGCAAAATTGCTCCAGTGGTTGAGAACCACTGGTCTGGAGATATTTTTCTCTTCAAGATCACACAATAAATATACATATACTAAAGTAAAAGGAAACAAGTCAGGTCACTAAAGGTTCTTGGAGCGATTATTACATGTGGTTCAGAACATTTTTAAATGTATGCTGACATGCTGATAGCAAAAGTATACTCACTGTGTACAAGAAAACAAAAATCTTTCCACATCAGCAGCAGAGTGAGTTTTGTAAAGCCTTCTGCATCATATTCCACGACACCTCTAAGTAACAAAACATACACACACAAACAAAAAACCCTCATAAAAATAAGGTATAAAAGGGATGACACCAAGTAAAGAATATAATCATGAAGTCAGGGTTATCGAATCTCAGATGCATTTAAGGCAAGCGAGGATTACTGTAGGAAGGGCCGGGGATTTGGAATGAGGGAATAGGGTCAAGTCACAGCTTTGCCGTTTACTATCTATTACGGCCTCATGCAAATCACTTAACCTTTGCAGCCTCAGTTTCCTCATCTGCAAACTTCATTGCAGAGGTATAAGAAACAAATAAGATAAACCATAAAATGCTGTACAAATGTTAGCTACTAATTATGAGTAAAAGGACAAATTAAGAAATCAGATCAGCAATGACACTATAACATCAAACAGCAGCATACTATCCATACAGTGAGTGTTAAGCCTCACCTTCACTGGGCATTAAACAGTAATGAGCAATGACAGTATTATTAAATTCAGGATTATATATTACTTTTCTTCCAAAGTACATGGAATCCTTTCACTTGTGTCCCCTCATTCTCCCCACTGGGCTCAAGACAAAGTAGCAACACGAGATGTGTGGGTGCTGGGCTCAGATGCGAGACGCACAGCTCACGGATCAAGGGAGAATAGCCCCTGGCCACTGTTGGGGCTGGGTAGGATTCTGGTAGGCTCACCTCACTCATTTCCCTCAAGAGCTGAGTGCCTGGGGGAGTGCTGCCAAGATGTGACAATACCAACCACACACTGAGGACAGAAGTGATTTTCTCTCTCATTCATACAAGGAGGTCTTTCATATCCTTAGAGATGCCTTCTCCTGGCTGAACCAGGTCATTGAATTTGATGACCACCCAGTATAAGCAGAAAGGAACAGCTGCCCTCTTTGTAAAGGCAAAGGAACTAAGATACTAAAGGCTAAGGGATCTGCTCAAAGATGGTTGGTTTATCATTCAGATTTCAAGTCACCAATTCCACTCACCAATTCATATTTCTCTCCATGAACTTATAATTAACATAATGTTATAACACTACTGATACTTAAACCTTTTAGATTCTATATCCTATAGGTAAAAACAAGTACATAATCCTTTTTAGTACGCATATAGTACAGTAATAAGTACTATTACTGTATTATATACGTAATAAAACACAAAAATGTACATTTAAAAAGAATGAGATTTGAAAACAAATATAAATATAAATTTCATGTTTTTCTTGTATTCCAATGGGGTGAGTTGTGTAACCTCTGGGGTGTGTGTACCCCACTTTGGAGGTCACTGTGCTAGCTTCCTCATTTTCAGTTATATATACTAAAGACAATCTTACTTGAAGATCAGAAGACCAGTGGTATCATTGATTAACCACTGTATCAAAAGTACTTTTTAAAAATGTTCATATACGAAACCAAAAACAATCTTAAGTATTAAAGATTCATCTGAGAGAGAGTCCTACTGTTTGGATATTGACACTTCTATTTTGGAGGAATGAAAAATTCCACTATGGGTATTGAGGAAATTTCTCAAAATTGTTTTGAGGAGTGATAGATTTTGCTGACTTTGCCACACTTTGAAAATTATACCCTAGAGAATGGCCAGCCATATTCTTGGTTTCATTTTCTCTTTCCTACTCCCAATTTCCTTTTGTCCTAATTTCTTCATTTACTTATTTAAAATTTTCATTTTGTGTTACTGTATACATAATTATATATTTATAAACCTTCTCTGGAATAAGGTGGGCTACAACCAGACCACTAAAACCCTTAGTGCCTAGTTTCCCCCATGGGTAGAATGCTCCCATCTCCTTAATGAGCATGAGGAAAATGCATTCCCCGGAGCTAACTCCAGGAGAAGCTTAATAAGGCCTCTGACGTCATTTAAGGAAACAGGCTACAGAGCAGCACAGCCACTGGCCAGAAGGAAAGGGGAAATGCACAGGGACAGAGCAGGAGGAGTTGCCCACTCGGTGACTGCAGTCACACGCTTCCCTTTCCTCTCTTGGTGCCATCTTCAACTCCTAATTTCAAATGTGAGTCACCGCTTTTGCATCTAATGTTAGATTTCCTTCCCAAGTCTCTCTCAGGAGACCTGAGTCCTGGAGAAATGGGGTTCCTGTCCTGGCTCCACCACTTCTAGGTGTGTGACTGCCATTGGGTTACTGAGCTTAGCACAGTTTCAGGGCTTTCCTCAATAAAATGTGTCACAAGGCCCACCTGGTTCACCTCGTGGCTTCTGTGAGGTGGGGGAAGTGAAGGTGCTTTGCAAACTGCAAAGAGCTCTACAACGAGCAGGTGTTACCGCCATTATTACTGCTGTGTTTGGGCTAGCCATGCTGCTGCTCCAGATAGATATTGGATTCTATTATTTGCCAAAGAATACTAAACATCCTCCTAGGAGCTTTCATATAAACAGCACACCAAGAAGAAAGTGGCATTGAAAAGGTATCATATGTAAGAACCAAGAGCTATTTTCTTAATCAAGTCCCTATGTTAGGGTCGTCAGCAAGTGAGGGCAGGGTTGGTGCATAGTTTAAACAGAGCAGAACTTACGTGCCAAAGTGGCTGAGGAAAGCAGCAATATACTCTCTTCTTTTGTGATATCCCTGAATCACATACTGCACCTGGAATAGGAACCCAGAGCTGGTAAGTGGAGTAGGAAATTTTAAATGCTTTTTATAAAAAAAATTTCAAAGATTCCAAGAAGTAGAAAGATTAATAAAATGAACACCATATTCCAACCACCTATACTCACCAACTGTGACTACTTTGCCTCATTGGTTCCTCCAGCATCTATCCAGCATCCATCCATCTACCTACCTACCAACCTATCCATCAACATTTCAAAGGAAATTAGAGACATCATGACATTTCACCCCTAAATACTTCAGTACGCAACTCTAAAAAATATGACATTATCTTACATAACCACAATACCATTATCATACCCAACAAATCCAGTGATCAGTCTCTGAATTCTAGTACCCTGTCCATTTTCAAAATTTCCCAATTGTCCCCAAAATGTTTTTTAAAAAGCAGTATACAATTAAGGATTAGGCATCTTGCTTTTTATGCCTTTTAAGTGTCTTAATCTAGAATAATAGCACCTCCTTTAGTGTAGATGTGTGTGTATGTGTGTGTCCCTGCACATGAATATACTGACTTTTCAAAGAAACTGGGCTAGTTGTCTTACAGAATGTCTCGAGTCTCTGATTGTTTCTTTTCTTTTTCCTTTACCCCCTGTATGTCTTATAAATTGGAAGTTAGAGCTAAAGGTGTGATTGGGCCCAAGTTAAACATTTTTAGCAAGAAAACTTCATAGGTGATATTAGCCTTGATCACTTGGTAAAGGTGACAACAGCCAGTCCAATCTAGTGTAAAGGGACGTTTCCCTTTGCCACAGTGAGTATTCTATGGCTGTACCTCTTGAAGCATGTGAAAACCTAGTTCCTCATCAACCTTTCAACTCATGGTTTTAGTATTGTTGGAGATCCTTGTCTGAATCAATTATTTCATTAGGGAATGCAAAATGGTGATTTATGAATTGTATCATTCCTTTTGCATTTATCAGCTCTCATTCTCTATAAAGAAAAGCTTTCTCTCATCAAATGGGGTTATTTTGTTATCTTGAACTCCTATTAAAAAGGCAGAACAATGCTTAATTCTTTCTTTTTAAAATCCTAATATTCAGAATAAGGAGTGTTACAATAGGCGATTTTACTTTGCTGTGCCTTTTTATATTTCCTTGTTACCCTAATGACAGTTTCTGTAAAAAAAAAAATAATTGTGAACTCATTAAGCTAGGCATCTGAAAGTTAGTCATTTACCCATCAACTTCTAACATGAAAACACATTCCTTATAATGTCCTCTTAATGGCTGAAAGAAACAGTGGGAAGGAGAGACCCCCAAAATTGTTTATATTGGCTACAGTCATACTGAGTTTCCATGGCTAATAAAAGCTCAAGATAAAGTGCTTGAAATAACCTTGACACAATTGGTACTGACAGTCATGTTGTACCCTTTAAATGTAAAACAATTCTATTTATGTAATAGGGGTTTATGTCAATTTATAAAAACAGTGCTTACTTTGCAGGCTCGATACAGGATCAGAAATGAATGTTATTTTGGGAAAAGAAAAACAGATGATAAGTTTGCTTAAGTGGCTTTGTTTAAAAAGGGGATGAAAACAGTTCTGTATACTTGATTTTAAAAACAGAAAACCATTTTAACAGAAACCCACAACAAAACTGGCTATAAAGATAGATTCCAATGTAATTATGGAAATTCATTTGAAGAGATTGTTTCTAAAAGCAGCCCATACTGTCCTCATTTGTAGCAAACAGAAGAACACCAATTTTAAAAGACAAGTAAAATTAATGAAAGGGAACCAGATAAGAAAAATTGACTGATTCTTATATTTCTGGGAAAACGGTATTATAATTTTTTTGAGGAAAATGTATGACTGAAATTAATCTCAATTGGAGAGCTTTAAAAAGGCTTTTCTTCTCAGTTCTGGAAGACCAAATTTGCATTTTTCTCCATAATTCTGGGACACAGATTTGAAGGCAGTGCAAAGTCCCAGAATGTAAATAAGAATTCTGCCCTCCGATCAGTTTTGTGGGAGGGCAGAGGCTGGGGGAATTTGGTCTGATGAGAAATAACCATTCTGGGAGAGTTAAATGCCCTGGAATCTGTACCAGGCCCATAGACTGCAGAGTTGCCAGATTTTAGTTTCTCTGACATTTGAAAAATAATACTGAAGCCTTTGAAATATTATTGTACTTTTAAAATATTTTCTATATAGACATGAGCTATCTTTTGAATGAAAGAGACAAACAAAAGATCTATTTTCCAAGCCAATGTGAACAAGTCAAAAGGAGCGAAGAAAACTGTACTTTGGCAATTAAGCAAACTGAGTCACCATCCATGTGGGAGAGGAAAGAGAGTTAGTGTTGCTTGTACATTAATATCTCTAGTTTTCAGCTAAATAAATACACTGGCTGGACATTAACAAGTATATTCTTACACTTTTTGGAAATATCTGACACCAACCATTAGAGTAAACTTAGCTACTTGCCAATGTAATGGCTCGTTAATGTAGCTAAGAGTAAGCTTTAGATAATCTGATACTCCTTGGTATAAGACCAGCTGACTTAGAAATCTTGCCTCTAGGAGAAGGACTCTAGCAAAATGCTCCCAGACATGACAGGAAGAATCAAAAGCCGACTCTTAAAAAGTGAGGTACAGAAAAGCAGAAAGAGATGAAGGTAGTTTTAAAGAAATACGCTGATATCAACCAGTGGCAAACATACACACACACACACACTAGATCGTTGGGAAGCAAAGGGGTTCAAAAATTTAAAACTGTAAGAAGGTGCAAGATCTAGCAAAAACTTAGGGAATAAAGGAAATTCAAGAAAAAGGTGACTTAAATCTGCAGATATAAAATTAAGAGATGAAGGTAAGACTGGAACAGGAGGTCAGAATCCTCAGAAAAGGAAGGAGGGCAAAGAAATAAGAAGAGAAACAGAAGAACTGTAATACAAAGTAGGAAATGCAGATGTCAGCTGGAGGCTGAAACCAAGAAGATGGCCGGAGGAGGATGGTACATGCGTGAAGATTCTGGTATGTGGTGTACCAGAGGAGGGCGTCTCACAAGACGGAGTAAGGGGACTCGCTTTACCTTATTGGTGAGCAGGTGGCACACTTGAGGAACATAATCAATGAGACATCCTCCTCCTGGAAAAGCTGGGATATGAAGAGCTGAGGAGCCGCCAAGTGCACTGAAAGGACAAGAGTACAATGGACACTTCTCTTAGGGCTCAAGCAACTTAAGAAGTGATATCCCCAAACAGACTTGGCTTCTCTCATCGAAGTCTGGCCACCAACTGCCTGGATTAATGATGATGGGAATACGGCCTTCACTTTCTGATTAAATTTCTGTATTTCAATACATTTTGTTAAACTAGCCTTATACGTCATTGATAACAACTAAGGATCTTACCAAACAACAGTACAAATTAGCAAATTTTCATGAGTATGGGTAATGTCTTACCAACGTTAGTGGGCTGTATGTATTATCAAAACAGACACTTTTATACTCTTCATTATGCCCAAGTCATTGCTGGGCAAAGATAATTTATTCATTAAACACCTGAACTTAAATGAACTAATAAAACATTGTAACAGACAACATTACATCTTATCAGCTCTGTTAACCTTGAATTCTAAAAGGTACACAAGAAGAAGGTACAGTCTTAACAAGAGGTATGGTCAATAACTGATCTAAGCATTAATTCAATGATGATTCAGAAATAGTTTTCAGAACTTCCATAGATTCCCTTTTTAGTTTAAATTAACCAGCATACAATCATTAAAAGAAATTGTTCAGAGCTTCACAGCATGCGTTTCATTTATCACTCTTAATCTTGACTACGTCTTCTTTCCTATTCTTACTTTTCTTTTGCCCTAGTTTGTTTTTCTAATTTTATTTTAATGTATATATTTCTATAACTCCCTTAAACTCTCTCTGTAATATGATAGGATATTTAAAAAAAAAACACCTAAAATCCCTTAATATGGTGGTTATTCATTATCCAAGTCACCACAGTTACAAGGTTGTAAGTGGAAGAAAAAGGTAACACCAAAACTGCCTAGAAAATCATTCCTGAAGAGTTTAGGGCAGACTCACTCAGTCTGAGGTTTGTGATACAGGGAACATATATAACTACTAAAAGGACTTCAGACCCATCCTGCCTCCCTATTGACTATAGATTTCAGAAATTAATTTTTCTGGTAAAAATAAATTTTATGTTTATTTGCTTATGGGAATGAAAAATCTCAATGAACAAAATCTCAGGTCATGTGAGGAAGTCAATGTGGAGTGGAAATACTCAACATTAACTTTTTCTGCTCAGATAATACCTAAAAGCACAACTCTGACAACTAAGAAAATCCTAAGGCAGCATTTGACTAAGCATGACATTCATGAGTCACCTGCACTCAGCAACTGCACAGAATCGGCAAGACCATAGTTGCCTTTTGACACTCTTAAGAGTAGACAATGGATTAGGTTTGGCCTAAACTCTGAAGAGGCTAGGAAAATTTCTATGAATTCCTGTGAACCAGAGGAAGGCTTTTTGTGTCCTCTTTTGTACGTACAAATTACACAGAAGGCATACATCTAACAAGAAGATTCTAATGATTCCATTAGGATGGAAAACTGATTACGAAGAAAATTTTATAGTACAAGAAAAATAAATCCAATATTTGTATCCTTATTGGTCAAGTATCTGTATAACATAAAGAATGCCAGGATCCAAGCTACTCATATAACTTACTTAGAGGAATAATCCTTGGCATAATAAAATATCAAAACAAAAAAGAAAATAATTTAGATAGTTCCCTGGAATTGAATTTTATGGGTTTTGACTTATATAAAATATTACAAGATACGTTCTTAATCATTCACTAAATTGCACACAAGGAAAGAAAATAGTTTGTGTGTAATCCTCTAAACTTGAAACTTTCTCTGCTTTAATTGTGTCATTCTGAAATACAGCCATTTAACAAAAATTGCCTGTAACAATGGAATGAAGCAGAGAGGTGAAAAAATCCCAAGGCCAGCTGTTCTGCTGCCAGGCCCATGCTTCTGTACCCTGCTTCTGTCACTATCAAGAACACTTGTTGCTAGGTACTTTATCACATTATCTAATTTAATCCTCCCCAAAATTCAACAAGGTGGGAATTATCATTGCAATTTTACAGGTGAAGAAGTTGAGGCTCAAAGAGAAAAAACTGCTTCAGATTCATACAACTAGACATAGGTAAAAGCAAGATCTGAACGCAGGTCTGCCTGTCACCAGAGTCCAGGCTGTTTCTGCTGAAATAGTTGACTGCCTGAGTGGAGGGGGATTTTAGTCATGAAGACTACACGCACAGGAAGAAACAGTGGGTCTGGCTGCAAGTCAGCTGGGTGGGGAGCCTGGTGATGACGAAAGGCTCCTGGAGACACTCAGACCACCACTGAGGCAGACACTGTGATGCGCAGCTCATCCCCCTCTACAATTTTCCACACAGCGACAAGGCAAGCATTCCTCTTACTTTTGTTCCTACTCAGTACTCCCCCACTCCAACCATCAAACAATCTGATTCACTTGATCGGGAATGTGACGAACCAACCACTCGGCATGTCTAATTCTAAATAACGCAGTTGCCTGTGCAGGACGAATCTCCGTGTGGGAAGTACTTCAGGTACGACAAAGGACAGTTTTAACTAAGTGCTTATTTTTTAAAAGATGCTTATTTTACCCTTTGTTTCACTCAGTAGTTTCTTAGCTTGTAAGGGTATAAAACCTAACATCCAGAGTCACACACTGATAAGTGCTGCTGATTCCTGCATAAAGATCTGCCTCACCGGTAAATGTTTAACAGGCTCACTATAGCTAAATGCTGCCCTGATCATGCTGAATAAACAAAATCAAGTGCCATGAAATAAAAGAGCTATTATGTTTTTAAAGGGTGCATGATGGAGGTAAGGTCTTGTGATCTCTACTTACTTAATATTCATGAATCAAAAAATATCAGGCTGAGCGTGTACAGCAGCAAACTCACACTGTGCAGAGATTCCGGGGTTCACCCAGATATTCCCAGGAATGCAAGGCTGGCTGGAAAGAAGGCAGGGCCTGATTAACCCACTAAATGGCTGAGGACAGAATGAGAAGGAGATGAAAGGGACTCCTTGATGCTGATTCTTCTGATCTCTAGAGCGGTGCAGTGAGGAAGCAGGGGTAAAAAGGCGAGGAAAAAGTGAATCACTGTGGCAGGGGCTCAGGCTGAACTTGGGAAGAGGAAAGGGTGAAAAGGATAGTTCTGATGAAAAAGTACCTTCTACTTCATGGACTAAAATGAAATATGAAATTAGTTGATAATTCTTAGAATTGAAACTAAATCTGTAGATATAAATTAGAAGGACAAGGCCAGAGTTTGAAAAACCTTTCCAACAATGGGGATAATTAAATAGACCAAAAGGTAATCAGAAGAACATTTCCAGGTCTGTCTTGTTGGCTCTAAAAGTCAAACGTAAGAGTTGTCTATACTGAATGTATTAATACTATTTTTTTCCCTGCAAATGAAATTAATAGAGCCCTTTGTGAACTTTGCTCTGTCTGCAAATATCCAGAGTGTCTCTAATACAGTCATGTGCCACATACAATGTTTTGGTCAATGTGGTTCCATAAGATTATAATATCATATTTTTATTATACCTTTTCTATGTTTAGATATACACAGATACACAAATACTTACCATTGTGTTACAGATGCCTACATTATTCAATATAGGTACATGCTGTACAGGTTTGTAGCCTAGGAGCAGTAGGCTATACCACATAGCCTAGGTGTGTAGTAGGCTATGCCATCTAGGTTTGCGTAAGCACACTCTATCACGTTCGCACAACAATTAAATTGCCCGATGCATTTCTCAGAAGGGGTCCCTGTCGTTAAGCAATGCATGACTTAATTGAAGATTTAACTTGGCTGCAGTATGATCAGCATAAAGAAATTATTTTTGAGTATTTTGACATGGAAAAATGCAGGGAGTTAGCCTATCTGAAAGCTTGACTTGAGACAATAGGTTTTTGATTTTGACCTATATGGAACAGCAACTCCCTTTCCCCCCATGTGGGGTTTTATCTTAGTGGACAAGTAAAATGAGCAAAACATAATTTAGCACTGGAGAAAACCAGAAGGGCCAGTGATTCTCAATCATAATTCTTGCTTCTGTCAATTTTTTTCTCTTTGGTTCTACCCAACTTCCTTATCAGTGCAGTGGGGATAACACTACTCTCAAAAAGACTCATCTCTCTTAAAGCATTAAAAGGGTTAGACTACTAATTAGAGTTACACTGACCTTAAAATAGCACCAAGCATTCCAAGAGAGACTTTATTCTAGTTCGAATGTTCTCTGTCCAAGGGTCATGACAGGGAACTGTCAGAGACACTTGGGTCAGCCTTAGTGTCCTGCTATTCTTTGCCCTTGAACAGGGTTCGGAGGGAGAGGAAGTTGACCTGGCTGCCTCCTCCACAGTATGATTCATGGGAGTATTGGAGGCTGAAGCATAGAAATGGGGAACTTCTAGGATAACAAAGCTGCCTTCAGCCTCCAACCTAACAGAAATCCTAAGAAAAGTTATGCCGTCGTCAATTCAGTTCAACAAGCACTAGCCTAACTATGTTTAAGAACTTGACTTTCCCATTCTGGATGTGTGATTAGAGCACTACTGATAAGTCTCTTCAAGGTAGAGGAATGCCAGGGACCTCAAGAATCTGAGCCAGATTATGTTTCCTGGTGGCCTGCCAGGAAAGCCATTATAATAAAACAAGTCACTGTTATTTATTGAGTACCCACTTTTGCCAGGTACTCTACTGGGCACTTCATGATCTCTAAACCTCACAATAACCCTGCCATGTAGACCTAATTAGCCCGATTTATAGATGAGAAAACTAAGGGTCTAAGAGTAAAAAGTATCCTGTCCAAGATAATCCACCAAGAAATTTACAGAGATGAGCTTGAACCCAGGTCTTTCTGGTTCCAAAGCCTATGTCCTTTTTCATTAGGAATTTTTTCATAGCAAGACAGTGTAAAATTTTTAAAAGTCTAATCCCTACCTATATATTGAAACAGTGGTATAAATGATTCAAATTGTCCTCAAAGCTTTTATCTGTAAAATTTGTCACATTGCCATCTCACTTTTTCTCATTTTAAGATATCACGTGTCACAAG